TAAATTAGCCATTTTGAAGACAGTTCGGTGCTGTAAACAACCAGCCCTTCTTAAGGCCTAGCCCTTCCAGTTTTTGGGCAATACGACCGCAAAAATGGGGAAAGGTATATCGAGCGGAATATTTCAGTTATCTTGGAATTCATGACGTCACAATAACGCCATTCGAATCATGCCATTCCATAAGCCATGCGGCGATCACGGCTAAGAAAAATACAATTGTCGAGGCATTCATATCTGGCGTTCATGAACGCGATTTCCAGATATACCAGCCGTCAATTAGCTCTCAATCAATGATTTGCAAGGTTCGATGACCTAATCAAATCATTACGCATTGCGGAGCGTATTTATTAAACAGAGTATTGCACTGTCTAGAGCAGTTTTTCCACTTAAAAGAGTACACCAATAATCATAAGTGAGACTGTTTTATCATATCTGATGCTTGCTATTATATCTTCAAATGTGAGCCATCCTCTCTGAATCAGTCATGTATCATAACTCATGCTCAAAATACACAAGCCGACATACCATTGCATTCAAAGCTAAACAAAGAACACGCCTCTTTAGGTTTCATGTCGCTGCGAGGCAAGGTTTCTTACGTCTGAGCATGCGAAACTGGCAAAGTTGGATTTTAATGAAAATGTGATATTTAGCCTGGCATAATGGGGTGAGGTATTGAACTAGCAACATATGATTACCAGTAGCAACATTACGAATGTCAACATTTCGTTGTGGTCAATCTACTCGTGTTTTTATCTAAGCTCTATCTTCCTTAGTTTGGGAACGGCGGGGGGTCGCATCCTTCCGTCCCCGCTATGAAAAAACGTCGAATCAGGGCGAGGGGTAAAGCCGACATCATTGGTATACTCACAAGCAGCAGCAGCACGCCCGTCTTCGTCGCATTTCCAGCTCAATAAACGCTTTTTTAAACATTGCGCCTAACATAGCGTAAAAGTGGATGGAGGGTACCGGGGCCATCTATTCTGCTGATGGACGACAGCCCGTTTAGTGGCAAAGTTCCCGATGCTCGGGGGCCACATTTATGATATGTGTGCTTGCATTGCGCTGGAGACGACGTAGCTCAACATGCAGTGCAATATTTATGCAATATCTGCAATGTGTGCAACATTTGTGTGACATTTGCAATATAATATTTAACAATTATACCTACAACATAAAGCCGACTTGTCTCATGTCATCATACATTACCTTGATGCATGGTGAAAGGCCGAAGCTGCTGGGAGGCAGCGCTTCCGATCAAATCAGGGTTATGCTGCTGTGCTTCGGGCATTTTGTACCTCTCTTGTAGCACCAACAAATGTGCTGTGAAACCTCCGAGCCGTCAGGCGGTTTTTCGTCACTGGCGCATCTGGTGGTTACATGCCTCAGCTGAGAGACGTGGGACCTGCTGGCGATGAGGTTCACAACCTTTTGCACATTGCCCGCGGAGTTTTCATGCGGGGGTCATATCGTCATCCGATGATTGTTCTCAGCTGTGGTCGAAATAGCCGGAGCCAGCGCATTGAACCTTGACTTTCCCTAAAGATCGATTTGATGTACCCTGCTGAAATTGGTGCTCCTCCCACCTTGGACAAGCAGGTGTCAGGCAGAACAACAGCAGCAGTAGCAAGCAGTTGGCAGTTCACTTGTGTTCCTATAGCTGTTTCATGTCTACCCTAAGTTACGAATATTTCGGAAGCGTCTATCACGTGAGCGCGGGCAATCAGGCGTCAGGAATGTCTGACTGTAGCCACTCTGGCTCTTAGAGAAGGCAGGAAAATGTTCACCGACACTACTAGAACCATATTTGGTCTCGTTTGGCTTAAGATGATGGGGACCACCGCCAGAGCCAACGCAAGATGGCGTGCGATATAGTCGTAGAGATGCACATAGATGGTTTGTTGACTTCAGTTTGCGATTTCTCGGCACATGTGATGTGAAGCAATGGTAATGCTCTTGGCTGTGTCAGCGAGTTCAGTGATATCAACACCGCCGCATGACACGCAGTGCAATCATGAGCTTCTTGGGTCAGCCACGCCTATCACACTGAGGACTTTTCAAGAGCACTGTTTGAGACCATTTACAAAGCTTGAAACCGCCCCGTTTTGACAATATAACCCAAGTCTGCTTGATGACGTTGTTTAACCAGTAATATCTGGTATAACGAAGGCTCCTTCTTATCATCAAGTCTAAACTTATAATACGATGCGCGCGCGCGCGCGCTCGCACACACACACACACACACACACACACACACACACACACACACACACACACACACACACACACACACACACACACACACACACACACACACACACACACACACACACACACACACATACACACACACACACACACACACACACACACACACACTCACACACACGCACATACACACACACACACATACACACACACATACACACACACACACACACACACACACACACACACACACACCCACACACCCACACCCACACACCCACATACACACACCCACATACACACACACACACACACACACACACACACCCACACCCACACCCACCCACACACCCACATACACACACACACACACACACACACACACACACACACACACACACACACACACACACACACACACACACACACACACACACACACACACACACACACACACACACACACACACACACACTACTATACGCTACTATACACACACACTACACACAATCCTTTTGGGTCAGGAATGTGACAAATCGATCGTTTGCCAAGCACACTATGCAGGAATTTTGGGGGGACTTACCTGACATGACATGAAAGTTATTCCGACACATGGAGATACTTTCCTTTTGATCCTCGACCTGGTTACCAACGAGGATGCAGGGGGTCCGTCAATATTGATTGCATTTCCTCAATGCCCACTGGTTTGGGCTCTCTCCCGTCTACTGGGTTTTGTCCGTCCCGATAGCTTAACTGCTTCGAGCACCTAACCTTCGATCCACTCGCTCGGCTCGGGTGGGTTTGAGGAAGTTTAAGAGCTTGCTATTTGCCGCCGACGGATATAGCCTGGGGCCGATAGCAGCAGCTGCGCTAAGAGTCGAGTGACGTCAGAGAGCAGAACGGACCATGACGGGCATTTGGGCACGGTAAGCTTTCGCCGCACAATTCTGCCGGTGACCCGGAATTTCACGGTCGGATGGTGGGTCAGGGCTTACACGACACACCACAAGGCTGCTTGCCGTGGGCACAAATCCAAGGAATTCGCCCAATCAAGAGCTTTGGGCTAAAACTTAAAGGAAAAAGGAACTTAACTCACCAAAAACAGTAGCAAGAAGAAACAAAGCCGGAAAAGCTTGCCGTTTTCGTGTCTTTATGTTCTAGTCTCCAAAGAGTTTCGTGTGTCTCTTATGTGCACCTTTCCTGTTCCTGCTTGGTTCCAATGTGCTGTTACTGCTAATCATTTGACGTTCATTGCCAGTTCAAGCTTCGTCATAAGACAAAAAACTGGGATCAAGCACCGAGAGTAGAATACCAGAAAACTGGTTCAATCACCGAGAGTAAAAGGCCACCGATCTGATCAGAGATTTTTCGGCGTGGAGGCTCCAAATATAGGCTCCATTCCCTCCAAAGCTGTTGGCTCAGCACGGCGGGGGCTCTGGCAGCCAGCCGTCTGGGGGCATGATCACGCGACCTGCGCGGCTGCGTCCGGCATGTGCCGGTGTGACTGGGCTTCCGTGACCTCACTCCCGTGACTGGGCCTGGCTGGCACCATTCTCCGGTATATCAGAGCGATCCGAGCGGGGCCGGGAGCTGCTGCGTTGTCCGCGGGCCGAGCCACCGAGCACAAGGGACGGCCCTCCGCGGACGTGGTCTGCCAGCAGCACTCGCAGGCCGGGCGGCTGAGCACAAGGGACGGTCTTCCGCGGACGTGGTCTGCCAGCAGCACCCACAGGCCGGGCGGCTGAGCACAAGGGACGGCCTTCCGCGGGCGTGGTCTGCCAGCAGCACCCGCAGGCCTAGCAGGGCCTGCCTTCGGATCCAAGACCTTGCCGGCAGGGGCGTTCACATAAAGTTACGCTACTTTTGCAGAGTGTTATGAGACGGGTGTTAACTTTCGTTTGCAGTGACATGGGCCCCCAGGGGTGAAGACGATCCAGCCTAGTCACCCGCTCATGCGTCGCAGACAGCCAGATAAACAAGGATTGCTAGACCATGCATATGTATCTGATAAGCTTTCCACCTCAGTGATGCGATACAATAAAGCATGGCACCATTGACGTATGTTTTGCCCTGTGAGTGGTAATCATGTCAAAGGGAAAGCCATTAAGCGCTAGATGAAGCCCGTGTGTGTGTGTGTGTGTGTGTGTGTGTGTGTGTGTGTGTGTGTGTGTGTGTGTGTGTGTGTGTGTGTGTGTGTGTGTGTGTGTGTGTGTGTGTGTGTGTGTGTGTGTGTGTGTGTGTGTGTGTGTGTGTGTGTGTGTGTGTGTGTGTGTGTGTGTGTGTGTGTGTGTGTGTGTGTGTGTGTGTGTGTGTGTGTGTGTGTGCTCTTGTGTGCCGTGAAAACAGAGGACCAAATCCGGTTACACACCCAACAACCCGTCACTGCCGAGGTCCGGTATTCACTACCGAGGTCCAAATGCCGGACCTCGGTTTTCAGAGGCCTTAAATGAGATATTTAGTCTTGTTTGAACATGTTTATTCGATTTTCAGCTGGTCCTCGAAAAACGCAATTATGCGCATTTTTACTTCCGGTTGTGTAAAGTGTGTTATCTTGGACGAACTGCGCGCGTGTGTAAGTTTTTCAGGTGGCAAGGTCACGTGGAAGAGAATAGAGATGAATAAGCAAATGCAAAATCACGCTGCTCCATGATGTGGTCTCATCACTTGTAAGTTGTTTGCGTTTGGTATAAGCATCTAAATCACATTGAATCACGTTGAAACTGGTGATGAAAGATATTAATGTAAATTGTGTTAAGTCACATGGGATACGTAGCTCTATCGCCGCCATTGCGCGTTCTTGGAACGAGCGCGACGGTGACGTTGCGGTGTGCGGCCTTTCGGACGAGAAGACTGGGCTTACGTTGGATGCAAGTTATTGTCGTCCGGCAAGGTTTTAAAAAGTGAGTAGTAAATATTCGAAAGGGATTGGTGAACCCTGTTTACCGACAACTGTAGCTAATGGAGGACTGATCTGCCTTGACTGATTAGAGAATGGTGTGCTGATAAGGATAGTTGCTGAAGTGGCAAACATTGTGTTAGCTTTTGAAGGTGGTTGAAGAGATTGACTTCAGCAATATTATGCTATTGTCTGGGTAGGTTTATCACGCTAGACCAGACGTTTGTAAGGGGGATGCTTGCAGTTTTTCTCATGCATTTGCAGTGGGTGTTGTATTACATTTAAAAAATGTTGCCGTTAGGTACTTACAGACATGTTCCCCAACCCCCTAGAACAACACGTTTTTAGAGGCTTTGGGCACCAATTTAGCCTTGAAGGGGAAATCATTACAAACATAAGGTTTTCCATACATCGGAACCTTAGTGTGTGGTAGATACCAGAGCATAAAAGGGTGTGTGCCACATTTGTATGGGTTTCAATTGAAATTAGCCATCTTGAAGATCATTCAGTATGTTACACAGTCCTGCCATTCTTAAGCACCCTTCTAATTTTGTAAACCTTTCTAGTTTCTGATCTGCACACCTGCAAAGGTGCGAATATTATTTCGTGGTGACTATTTCAAGGTCACCCAGGCACCCACAACGCGTAATGTCTTCAAATGCTGCCATTTAATTGGCCATGGGGCGATTAAGGCAAGCCATCATATGACCGTTGCGTCGTTCATATCCGGCTTTGTGAATACATTTTCAGACGTAACGGCCGTCGGTTGGCTCAAATCAATGTTGTACAAGATTACGTAAGTTGTTCAGTGCATTAGCATTAGCAGAGGAGCATTTTTCACATAGCTAAGACAATATTAATAGCCTTATTCCTCGAAGAAAAACCGGGAGAATAAAGATATAGTTGAATTGATATTTCGGCAACATGCCTATATCGAAAAAGTAGCAGAAATAAATTCAAAATTGCCTGCTGGTGGCCCTACCCGATTTTTCAGCTTTTTTGGAAATAGAAAGCCAGTTTTTACAGGACACCAACTCTTAGAGGATTAAACAAAAAGTTATCGCTAGCCGTTACCACGATACGGTGCTTATCTAATAATTAGAATAGGCGACAATACGTGTACATGCAAACTAATTCAAGCAAGTAGGCGTCATGCATTACGCTTCGTTCAAACATACAAACGAGTTGAGGTTAACAGGTATCACAGTCGCGCATCAATTATACATGCAAGCGATTTCAACTGAACAGACATCGCATATCACGCGTCGGGCTTCACTTCACATGTTAACTATTTTAAGCTAGCACACATCGCATATAAAGGCACATATCATGTTCGGAAAATCGGCCAGGATGAGCTTTGTATGTTAAAATTTGGTCGCTGATTTTTTGCAAGAATAGATTAAATTTTTCCCTACCTGGGTGGCCCTCTGCTCTGTAGACGACTTTGGACTCTAAAAGGGGCATAGGGTCCATACCTCCCTCGATTTCAGCCTGAGCATGTTTTGCCAAAAAATGGTCACTGAAAGGGGTATTCCCTGTTTTGTTTGGGTCTATGTCGGGAAGTCCATACGTCCCTCACGTTTAAGATACAATGAACACCTCCGGGGCGCTAAAAACAAAAAAAATACTTACTTAGTCCTTAGTTAATCTCCACCCACTGAATAATTTTTGGCATTGTTGCTGTTTCAGGTGATGTTATAGCCACTGGACATTGAAGCGATTGAAGACCAGAAAGCCTTAGTGCGACCGGCTTGATTCAGGTCAGTTGGTGTCAGGAAAGTCAAATTATTTAGGAAATGACTACTCTGAAGAGGGTGTGAATCATTTGTGACATGTAGAATTTGTTGTCATCAGCTCTAATCTAGCATTTCATGCATGCTTTTCTTTCTCTATCTACCCCATCACATTGTCCAACACTGCCAACACCACTGCTTCGTCCGACCCCCACAAATATGCCACTACACTGCCTGGCTCCACCATCCCTATCAGTGCCTTAACCAGTAGGATGTCATTACAGTGCGTGACACCATGCACCCCACCACAATGTCTGGGTCTACCCATCCCACCATGGTGTCTGACCCCTCCAGCTCCATGCGAGTGTCGGCTCCATGCAGCTGACCCCATTGCCCTGCCAGTTTCACCAGTGTCTGATCCTGCCAACACCACCAATGTCTGCCTCCCCCCTACCATTGTGTGACCATAACAGCTCCTGCATGGTGCGTGACCTCAGTGTAACGCCATTTTGGTATCTCATTCCACCATCCTCATCGCTGGTCTACGCAAGCACGTGTCGACTGTACCAGCCCCACTTTATTCTGCAACCAACGCCACCACCACCTGCACCAACACCACTAACATATCGCGGCCTGCAATTATGTAGGTACACCCGCATCCGCGTTATTGAATGGTCTTGTCAACATTTAGTGCTCCTTCTCTGTGGCACCACCGGTGCATGGCGTCATTCTTTAATGAAACATGCAAAAACATTTTTGTTCTCAGGTGGCTTATATGTATACCATTGGGAGAGTTAAAGAAGTTTAGTCCTCTAAAAGAAGTCCTCCGGAAAGTTTACTGCAACAAAGGTAACTCAGGCTATATTTGGGATGCTTAAGGACTTACGCGCAACAGCATTTTCATATGCTATTTGCAATATGGAGCATGATATTCTTCGGGAAGGACAGGTTTTGGGGCGTTCGGGTCAAGAGTTCGAGCTCATGGGTCCTCGAGAATATTTACCACGGGCACGGCTACCCGAAGAAAAATGAGAAGCATTGGCGATGGTGGAAATAGGCCTCGCAAGCAGTTTCCCTGCCAAATTCGAACAGGTGGGGTGCAGAAGTTGCTTTAAAAAGTTTTTAGTCACTGGCAGTCTCGGTCTTTTCATTGTATGTGAAATGTGTATGGCTTAGGGTGTTTGCTGCAACATAGTTTCTTTAATTATTTCCTATGAATGGGACGATTGAACCAAGCCTTGGATCATTACTATATGTTGTTTTACGCATTTGACGACGGGATCAATGATATATATATATATATATATATATATATAATATACATCACCAACGCCGGTTTGTTTGCGCGGAAATCACCGACGCTTTCATGAGCGTGGGGTCCGGCCGCTCACTGAACATAGCTTGTGGTAGCGGGTTTGGCTGCCACATCCGGCTCCGGGCCATAACGGTGTTGCCAAAAACCCATCGAGGGGACACTAAGCATGGTTCTGGTCTGCGCACTCCGGGCAGACCAAAATGCCTGCGAAGAGACCTCGTCTGCGGGGGCTAGACAGACGAGTGTCTCGCAATGGCGTGGAGAAGCCCATCCGCAGCAAGGAGGGGTGTCGGTCTTCCAGCGTGTCACGTTGTCAAAAACAGTTACGGCGTTGGTGTGCATTGGGGCTGCCTCCCATCTGTTTCGCGGCCAGCATCACGGTGTGACGTCGGATAGTTTCAAATGCGATGGTCAGGTCAGCGGTTTGGTTGTCTGGTCTTTTTGTAATTTTTGTTGATGCATTCACATATAGCGTGCAATCACACTCACAATACGCACTCGATCCAAAATCATAAATCAAATATATCATAATGTTTGCATCATGGCGCACACTACCTTCATCCTGCACTACCCGCGATATGGCAGTGATCAGAAAACTGTCCACTCTTACCAACCAGCCAGTAGACATACACTTGGGCTAGGGGGGCGTACTCGCCCGGGGGCTGGGATGACGGTCTGTGGGCCATCCGCCGCCTGTCTGTCGTAGTTTCGTCATTTCTTATTGATGCATTGTTTGAGCTTAGAGGCAATAAGCTTTTTACCACAACTCGTTTCGGTTATGCCTCGCTGTCTTACGACTGTTAACCGTATGGCGTGCATGAACAGCATGGCATTGACAGGGCGTAGTAAGCCTAGGACATCAGGGCATGGACTCGCAATTGCCGCACTGCGGTCAGCGATGATACTGGAACTGTTGCTCTTCTCTAAATCGATTCCCATCGCAGCTGTGCGTGCGTGGCTACAGGAATGAAGACAGGCACGCCATAGTTTGCCAACGGGCGCGCGTACCATGCATGAGGGCCGTCCGAATCACGGTAGCTGCTGATCGCGTTGACGATGAATGTTGGCGACTCTGCTGTTGTTGGCCTAATTTCAGGTTAAGTTCGGCTGCGTGGCTAGAGCTTAGTACGATTTATTGTTGTCCCCCTCTCTCCGCCCCCATCGCCGCCCCATCACTTCCTTCTTCTTGACGGCAGTGCATGTGCTCTAACAAGATGGGTAATATGTACGCGGACGGGAGGCATGTGGCCTCCGATATTCGTTCACGGATTTGCTGTGAACTGGAAAGCTATCTTTCGGGACACGACTATTGCACAGCTATTTTAATTCCACCACCCGTGAGCCATCAGCGTGGTGCATGCCCACGCTTCTGAACACAAGCATAACTTTCTTTCACGTGGGGGTCACAATCCTGTTCTGAACTGAAATTTCTCATATCTCACCCGTTTTCGGCTTTCCAGATTACTCCCCGAGAGCGACACTCGTTAAGGATGCGAGTATTTGAAGTTCCGCTTTCAAGCATTGGACGGCCTGCAAATTACCATTGGAGCCAAACTGTATGCATTTTCTAGATGATCTTAAATACGGAGCGGTATTCTAAAGATGTAGTTGTGCAGTGTGTAGTTCGTAGATTACGAAACAACGGAGCGAGAATACAGTTGGCGTTCCGTTTTGGGTCAGTTATTTTGTTTTCCTTTTTCCATGTTTTAAAGTCGCTGTGCTTTATGCTCAGGATCGAAGCAAAATGTACAGGAGTAGGCTGCGATGTGATGCGTGTTGTATAAAACCAATAAACCAAAAATGGCATCTCTGTCTGCAAAGGGAAAAATCTGGACGAAGTCGACTACCTCAACAGCGCACCAATGGCAGAAGAGGACGGTCCGGAGGACATGGGTTAAGACGATTGTGTGGTGGAGGTCGCAAATGTCCTACCTGGACAAAAAGCCAAGAGGGGAAGGGAGACTTGTTTTCGTAGGAGACATCTTCACATCGAGAGACTAACAATGACGCTCAGGAAAAAAACACCACTGGCAAAAAAGACGTATTGCCTGGTGCAATGGGGAAAAGGCAGCTCTGATGAGGCAGCTTGGCATGTTTGTTAGCCACATGGAGGTTTCTGGCCAAGCTGCATGCTTACGTGCCCTGTCAGCAGAAAATGCTCTGTCCTAGCGCTCATGGAGAGATGTTAAATCCATGTCCATAACGTGATTGTTAGAGCACGTCGTAAGGCGAAATGAGTCTCAGTGACTTACACATTAGATGTCGACTTCGTTCACGTTTGGATGATGCTCGCTAGTAAATTTCGCAACGACAAAAACGATCTCCTTGTTGTTGCTCCCGTTTATAGTAGCAATCTGTGTAGGTGGAGCTGATGAACGGTGAAAAAGCAGTGCTCACCAAGGGCAGTGTGGCGAGATTTGCAATTCTGGGCGGAAGATGACACCTAAGCACGGAAATAGACCCACCCCATTGGTAAAAACGCGTTATACCTGAATGTCAGTTTGGAAGCAAATTAGGTGTGTCATTCTCCTGTCGCATCTTTCCAATACAGGATTCAATGCAAATGCTTCTTTCTCTACGTCATTTTTGAGATCCGTTGGCAAATCTGACACCACTACACTTAACCAAAGCACACTTGTTACATTGGGAAGTGGTGGGCCACAGGGGCCTTTGACTAGTTTTTGAAGACTGGAATGGGCGCGTGGGCGTCGAGCACGAAATCTCGCATCAGCCAAACAGCCGACATGTTTATGAGGCAGCTCGTTTGGCTTCAGTGACTGACTGCAATGACTGTAACGACTGACTCATTGATTTTAGTGTTGCACGGTCCTCCTTCCTCGGTCAGCAGCAGATTGCTACATCCCGCCGCACCATGGATTCCACTTGTATGAAGAAAGTGCATATGCGTAATTGACACGTATATAAAAACCCAACACATACGCAAGCCGTGGGAAAGGCACATTTAACAGGTAGCATGAGCACGTGACTCACAGTTACACCAACAGCGAACCATTCACCCACACTCAGTCGCATAAGAGGCCATCATTAAGTAGACCGCTGCATTGACGCCGGCACAAGCCGTATCCCAAAAACGGGCCACAAACTGTGCACCCCACCAATGGAGGCCGCCGCGCACTCGCGCCGCCAGTCACATCCACAGCATCAGAGGCTGTGTGCTGTCGCCCTGAGACAACGGGGTTCGCGAGCAGGGTCGAGCAACATGGGGCTTTGTATACTGACTGGAACACCGACAGTGTAGAAGAGACTGTTGGAGTCACCTGCAAATGAGATGAACGGCGGCTGCCCACCGAAGTACCTGAAACTGCAGTAGCTCGGTCAGCAGATAAACAGTTCCAGCAGCACCTCGAGTCAATTTTTCCACCGCTGTCTGGAGCGTCGCCTCCGTTGCCCGCTCCTCAGCCCCGGCCGCCCTCTGCTGCAACCGCTGCAACAGCAGAAGCTTCGGGAAAATCGCCGTCGAGTAGTGTGCCGCCGACCGGGTCAGTGATGATGCTTTAGCACTGTTAGCACTATTAGTGCTAAAGGGTCATGGAAACCCGAAAGGCGTTGGTTGCCCTTTCTCCTACTCTAATCGGGCCGTTGGGGACGGAAAACATTTAGTGTCCCGGGTGTCCAGCCGTCGGGGCAAACACTCATCGGGTAGTTTAATGAACTGCAGTCATTTGTTATTCGGTCCGAGGCGATTCCACAGCATGGAGCCAATGTCGTATGGAGGTCGATGGAGCCAAAATCCGTTGGCGATATCAACCGGCCTGGGGAGGGCTTTTTCATGAAGAGTGTTCAGCAGGTATTAACATGGCGTATGCTGCTATTTATCCGACTTGATTTAGACTTCAACGGGACGACAGGAAAGTGCACCATGATAAAATAGAGTAAAACGATTGTTATATTATAGATGAATGATTTAAGCAGCAGAAAGCCTACGATCCGCCGTTATTTGCCTATATCTGAACGCAAACCAACAGCCTGACGCGCAAGCAGGAGCGCAGGGAGGGAAGGCCACAGGGGGCACGTTCCCCCTGCCTAAGGTTTCAGGGGACCCGAAGGGCCTCGGGATTTACGATTAATGGCCTGATTTGAGGGCCCAAAGGCCAGAAAGGTCGGCTGGAAGACTATTCAGAGCCCCGGCCGGCACAATGGGGCACTCCAATGCCAGCGATATTTTTGTTTGGGGGGGGCTTTCACTATTGGGGAGCCCTTTATCAACCTTGTGCGTGCCCCTGGCCCGTTGCCAAGGCTCTGGCTGCGCGCTTGTGCACAAGGTAGCATATTGATATCTGGCCGTGTTTGGTTTGTCGCCGTCGTCTTTCAAAGGTGGCCGCGACACTGGTTTATGAGATGGTCGTTGCCTCGCTGATTAATTAACATGTTGGTTTCAAGCGATACATTTGTCGACAAATATCCAAAACAGACTGTTCGACATCGTCTCTCACCGGTAAAGGGGCCCTCAGTTTCCCAGCAACCCCCAAGGAGTCCTTCTGAATGATGTTCGAGGCCCCCGACCTGAGAGCCTTTGTCCCTTTGTCCTTAATTTCCAAGTGCAACTCCCGGTCCTCAATACACAGCTGAATATGACAGAAAAGTCACACACGGTCCTCTGTTATCACTATGTCCTCGGTATTTTCAATTGCCAGTGTAAGCTAAAGATGGCAGCTTTACCCCTCGAACGACCCATCCTGTTCTTAAACAGCCAAATGGCTGCATGGCCTTCCAATTTGGCTGCGATGCCGCCATTCGTTCGGGTGGTTCTCGGTAGTGACGGCTGAGTCAGGTGTCCCGTAAAGCACGGCACACAAGTATGTGTGTGTGTATGTGTGTATGATATGTATGTTTAGGAAGGTTATTCATTCAAACAAGCTTTTCCCGCAACATTCCTACGGTACTTCAATCTCAGCTCTAACGTGAGAGGCGTTACGTCTCCGACTGTGATAAAGGTGAAGGGTGGGGGCCGGAGCCCGGCTCAGATCTGGACAGCCACCCGTGCCGTAGGTGTATGGGCGTAGGAACAGGGGGGGGGGGCAGAGGGGCCATGGGCCCCCCACTTTTCAAGGTGTGGGGTAGCAGAGCTAACTGGCCCCCACTTTTCAGATTAAAGTTGCATTTGGCTTGCTTTTGCACTATATTAAACATGCCTGCCGATTTAGCTAGTTCACCCGTCATCTCCTTCAACATGCGTCATATTTTTCATTTGCTCGTTGGCCATCGCATAGTGTTACACTGCACCGCCTGGAGACTGCAACGCCGGGCGCCAAGGCTGTTTTTGCCGTGACTTGCCAGCACGCGCGTTCAACACCATATTACATAGTTCTCTTATCAGTAATCAGCTCCGACTGGATCTTGAGCATTTTAAGACGAATGTGGGTTAACCATGCCAATACATATTAGGAACCCCATTTCATCTACAATCTACAGTCAGGGAGAACTCAATATCTCTGAAGAACACAGAGAAAAAACACGGAACTGAAGTTTATGTTACAACAATCGGACTACCTGTGGTGATCAGGGATGTTGTTGCGTCAATGAGCGTTCCTGTGCTGATCCAGGGCTAACTGCGCGGGTCAGAAGGCCTCCCGTGTCAGGGATGGGAACAATGTGATATGATATATCCTTTTAATGGCCCCGGATCGACCGGGAGATTCCGCCCCGTGCCACCAGAATGATGGCCAGAAGACACTTCGCGATGGGGCGGAATGACTCTTCAGCCCTTGACCGGAAACGGTGATGTACCCCTGGTGTTCTACTCAAGAGACCCCTTGCCCAGAAGGGAATAAGGGGTTTCATTATTGTTGAGTAGAGTGGGGCTCTCATTATTGTTGAATAGCGCTGGTCGAAATGAATTTTTGAAAAAAAAAACAGCAAGGTCATGCCATATTTGCCTGGGAACGTTCATGTATGAGAATGCGTTATTGGGACAAAGTACATCAAAAGGCTTGAACACGCCCGCCCGCAACCTCAAGAGCGAGGACAAGGATGGTCTGGGATGCAACTTCCGTAAAACCGAAAAGTTTCTGCCACTGCAAATGCCACCAGACGGCGGGCGCCGTGTTAATCTGCCTTCTGGACAGATCAATAGCTGCAAAAACACGAAAAATAGGCACTTTACCTTCACTGTTCCACTTGAACCATCAGATTTCAGCCTCACTTCGCGGTGCTTTAAGGGCCAATCCGTTATTTTCATCAGCCTAGAAATTGCACACATGAAACATGCGCTCAGACTGCCTTCTAAATACAAAATCTGATGTCATGAAGCGTCCAAGGATGCTCTGTCAGAAGCGTCGTCATTTTCGTCCATCCGTTGGCCACAACCTAATATCATCTGCTGGGCCGACGCTGCGCGGCCTACAGAGACTGCAACGCACGTGGTCGAGGCTTGCGTTTCTAAAATTTTCGAGTGCGCACGCTGAAAATTACGTCACATACCTTGTCTTACTAGTTAATGTAAGCGTTTCAAGGCAATTATTTCAGAAACATCATCATTTTTGTCCCGTGCGGGCCACAGCAAAATATTAGCTGCTGGGCTAACGCCCCGCGCACTATATAGACTGCAACGTCTGGTGTCGAGTTTTTTTACTACGATTTGCGAGCGCGGATGCTAGAGAACACGCGACATAAATTGTGTCACGAATCAATTCTGACTGAATGGGTAAACATTTTCAGACAAACATGGCTTGGCCATGTTGATACACATTGTCGACAACTCGATCTGCAATCAAATTTTACCTTCAGATTCGGATCAAACGCATGGATCTGCAACCTACCTTCGCAATGTCCTCAATGTCTGTAGA